TGCACATCCCTCTCTTTCTCAGATGCAAACAGAGACGCAGAAGCGTCTCCTTCCAGGACCAAGTTTGAGGACCTCGACTTTGATTCGTTGCTGAAGCAGGCTCAGAGAGGATTAAAGACGTAGCAGAGCCGAGAGGACGAACGGCAGCACAAACCTGGAAGAAAAGATGGAAGCGTTTGCTTTGGGGGTTTTTCCACAAACCTCAGAGCATTGTGCTCATACTGGCATGGGAAAAATTTGTTATGAGTTTTCATGTTTTGCTAAACTATATTGTAAATGCATGAAGGTTTTTATGTGTACAGTTTATATGTACAAATATGTAGCACTTGTATGCATGCAGTTACTCGTGTGCAAAGTTGACATGTAGCACTTGATGTGAGACAAGGTTTTTATGGCATTCCAGAGCACTGAGAAAAGTTTGTATATGAAACAAAGGCAATTTATTGTTTTTCTGTTTACTTGGGATAATTTTAGTGATTAGATATTTTCATGTAGATATTTTCCTCTGACAAGGAGCTTTTGTTATTGTGTTGATTTGTGTTTCTTTGCTGTTCTGGACTGATTTAAATGAACGTTTTTGAGGGCTTGGACTAATGTAGAAGGGGTTCACTGTTCCAGTAGGTCCACATTTGGATCTGTTCTAGTAGTTTATTAGACATTTAGGATTATATCTTCACAAACGTAAACCAAACCTAAACAAGAAAAATTGGGTGACATCATATTGATGTTGAACCAGATCCAGATAATTGTGGCAGACAGTGGTTTGCTCCACTGCTTTACTTTCCATTGGTGAGCTTGAAATAAAGGGTGTGATATATTGCTCTTTATATAGAATAAACAATGTTTATGGCTGTAACCACACTGCATTACCTCAGTTTCATCTTGTGCATTAATCTGGCTGCTATGTTTTTCAGGGGGGTCTCCTTAATTGTTGGTTGACAATTAAAATCATAACCTGTTGAATTTTCAAGTGATTGTCATCAAGTGTGATATTTATTTCTGATAATTTAATGATTTCCTGTGGGCCCACACAAGTGATTCTTTTGGTCTATGCAGTGACCCCATTTAAAAAAAGTCCTTAAAAAACCTCTGATTCAAACCTGTGATTCTGGACTGCAGCATGGCATATTAAAAAAAATCTACATCTAGAATCACTAGAAAGCACCGGTTATCTGTGGAGACTTGATATATTGAGATTTTGAGCTCCCGAAGGTGTTTTACTGTTATAGACTGTTCAAATATCTTAACATCATCACAGTACTTAGGATTAGACTTAGTTTCCGCCGCCACAAAATCCTCTCCTGGCTTCAAAAAACTAGGGCCAGCAATTTTGTGGACAAAAGTAAAATTAGCCTGATGATTCATCCGCAAAACCACACACTCAGGAGAGGGAGTGGGAGTTCTTTGGGTGATCTCCTAAGAGTGTGCTGATTTATATGCAAAGATGTAGACAGTTTATTTCAGTAATTAACTACCAAGAAGAACTGCAATTTGTGCCTCAGAAAAGATAAGGGAGTGTGATATAAGGCCATTGGATCCATTGATCCATCCTGTCATTGATACAAGACTTGCTGCTTTCATGCCAAATTCTGACGCTACCATCTGAATATTACAGCAGAAATTGAGACTCATCAGATCGGGTAACATTTTCTCAGTCTTCTATTTTCCCATTTTTGTGTTTCCCTACTAACTGTAACCTCGGTTTCCTGTTCTTTGAGTTGACAGGAGTGGTGCTGCCGTGGTCTTCTGCTGCTGTAGCCCACCTAAGTTCAACAGGTTGTCTGTTCAGAGATGCTCTTCTGCATACCTTGGTTGTAACAAACTGTTATTTTTGGCCATCCTCCGCTGACTTTTGCATTCAATAAGGCATTTTCACCAAGAGAGCATCCCTCTAAACCAGGGGTCTGCAACCTTTTACACCCAAAGAGCCATTTGGAC